TTATAATGCCCTTCCTCCTTCAAATTTTCTTATTTAATCGAATTTCTACCGTTTTTTTCAACAACAAAAAAAATACCAGTCTAGATAGGGAACTATCTCTAAGATCTAAAAATATGCATAAAAAATAAACCAATGTGATCATATATAAACATATCCATTCAAGAGTAGGGATTGTCTCTATATCAAAGCCTATAATTGTTTATTGAGAAAATTTTATTCACCCTCATTCTAATTTATCCTAGCTTTAAGAATAACCTTTCTATTTTTTGAATATTTACTGACACCCTCAATCATATTAATGACATTAACTGGAATATAGTTTTACTAAATTGTTCATGATATATTTGAGAAAAATTTCATGCACACCCTTTTTAGATAGGTATGTCTTCAATAAGACCTCTTATTTTTTATGACTTTTTTACGTATTAAATTCAGGTCAATTAATATTTAATTCAAGTCAATTAAAATTTGTTTTTAATCGGCTTAAATCAAATTTTAATCAACTCGCATTGAATTCTAATCAGTCCGAATTTTAATACATAAAAAATATAAATTTTAATAGACTTAAATATTAATACGTAAAAGCCAAATTTTAATCAATATCAATGAATTTTAATAAGTAAAAAGTATAAATTTTAATCAACTTGAATTTTAATACGTAAAAAAAGAAATTGTTATAATCTCAAATCTTAATTTGTAAAAAAAATAAAATTTAATCAGCTCAAATCAAATTTTAATCGACTCAAACTTTAATATATAGAAAAATAAATTTTAATTAGTTTGAATTTTAATTGGCTCAAATTTTAATCAAATTTTATGTAAAAAAAATTATTTAGAATTTATGTAGGGCAAATTTTGGTATTTTGGATGAATTTTATTTTGTTAGAAATTGTGGTTTAAAGGTATGGGTGTCAGTGATGTTTAAATATAAACTAGAAAATGGTGTCACTGATATTTTAAATAATAGAAGGTTGTTCTTAAAAATATGATAAATTAAAAAAAGTATGATTGAAAATTTATCTTGTTTACGTATCAATCTATTATTAAACAAAAAAGAGAGATTTACAATACCAAAAAAAAAACAGAGAGGTGGTGTTCTCCACGTGTGTGTGTTTGAAAGTCAAATCTAAAACAGATCTGAATCTAGATCTGAAGCCAAAAAAAAAATTGGAGAAGAAGACCTTGATCTCAGATGCAAAAAAAGAAAAAAAAATCGTTTCTATGTGTTCGTTCCGCCTGTGTTTATGTTCGTTCCTTGTGTGTGTGTTCAAAGTCAAATCTAAATCCAGATCTTGAGAAGACGTTGGAGAAAGCGCCAGAGATCGTCAGAAAAGAATGATAGTGTGTGTTTCGTTTAGTTTTTCCCGAAGTGGAGGAGACAAAAAAAAAAAAGAGAAAGAGGATGGAAAAAAAAAAAAACTTTTTTATAGTAGAATATGTTTTGCTGCAAAGGAGTTTCAAAGAGAAGACCTCGTTAAGGAAATAGAGGTGTTTTCCGTGTTTTCTTTTTTCCCTTTTGTTGTCTTCAAAACACCCAAAATAAATTGAACTTATTTCCTTTATTTTTGAAAATTGGAGAATTAAAAATTCAAATCAAATAACTTTTACTTGTTTACTGTTTTCAAAAATCAATCTAAACAGGCCCAACTTTCGTGATCGAAGCAAAATGACAAGTATGCTTCTTGCATATGTTGACAAAATGTGTGTTTCCATTAACGCATAGAATCAGTAATAGGAGTTTAACATGAAGTGAAAAACTTCCACACCCATTCACAACTAACAACACTGTAGGATTTTATTTTTTTTTAAATCAATAATAAAACCCTTGAAACCCAAAAGCAAAAAATTAGCAACTGAAACTGTTTTCTATCTTATAGCAACATAAATTTCTCATTTTAAGACTTATCACAAATTTAGAAGTATTGTTTATAGCTTGGTACATGGGAATTTATTTTAAGTACTTAAAACTGGCCATTGTCAGCAGCTCATTTCAACAATAGGGTCTTCCTCTGTAATAATACATTATTTTTCAATGCCATAATCCTTCTTTGTTTCCTTTTAATTCTTCTCTTATGTTGATTTTTGTTTTCTTGGTTACACGGTATTTAGACTTGTGCCGACTACTCTCTCAAACTCTGCAACTAACCACCGTAACTTGATATGTGTTTGTGTCCTTAGGATATGCTTGGTACGTGGGTTTGGATGGGATTTAAGAGGTGAATTTTATAAAAATAGTCCAATATATTTTCTAAACCCATATTTGGTTCAAGATTTGAGACTCGAAATTCATAGAGTAAATGAATTGGGGTCCACAGTGATTGGTTGATTAAAACCCACAAATAGAGATTTGATGAAACTTATGTGAAGGGTGGGTTTCAAAAGTGAAAGATTGGATTTGAAAACAAAAAGTCTAATTTACCCAAAAAATTATTCTTATATGAGAAAGTTTTAACTAGATACTTTTAGTTTATCATATCTTCAAAAATACCGCTCTATTTTTTAAATCTTTACTGTCACTCCTTGTCAAATTAAAAACTTTAACTAAAATAAAATTTTACTAAATTATTCAAGATATATTTTAAAAAAAACTTCATCCACACCCTTCCTAGATAGAAATATTTTTAATGACACCCCCACTAGTTTATGAATTTTTGTACGTATTAAAATTTGATTTGAGTCAATACTCAAATCAAATTCTAAACTCGTTTTAAATTTTAATCGGCCCAAATTTTGATACATAAAAAAAATATAATTTTTAATCAACTCAAATTTTAATACGCAAAAAATGAGTTTTAATAAATTTAAATCGAATTTTAATTGGCACAAATTTTAATAAGTAAACAAATATAAATTTTAATTGACTAGAATCAAATTTTAATCGATGCTAACAGCTTAGGTGAAGCTCAAATCAACCCCAATTTTTAATATGTAAAAAAAAAAAGAATTTTAATAAGCTCAAGTTTTAATAAATAAAATAAAATTTAATTATCTTGAATCAAAAAATAAATTTTAATCGGCTCGAATTTTAATATGTAATTGAACTTGAGTCTTGTGGGTTATTAAATATCAAACTCAACCACTAAATCACTCCTAAAAATTCCCTTATGCTAATTTAACTCATACAAATTTTACCAATTTTTTTTTTAAAAATGTTACACAATCAAAATGGAATCCAAAAATTACAACACAAATACATATCACTTATTGGATGAGTGGTTAGATGAATACGTTCTACTAAAAAAGCTAATAGGATCGACTCATTCAAAAAATAATATGCATTTAAGTTATAATTTTTGAATTATAATTTTTTACTTCTATTTGGGTTAGGAAAAATTTCAACCACACTCCCTCTAGTTTATTATATCTTCAAGGACACCTCTTCTAGTTTCTAAATTTTCAATGACACCCCTTCTAGTTTAATTTAAAAATCACTAACACACCCTACCATTAAACTACCATTTCTAACAAAAAAAATTCGTCTAAAATACCAAAAATGGCCCTACATAACCTCAAGTAATTTTTCTACATAAAATTTTATTAAAATTCGAGTTGTTAAAATTTTAAAAAAAAATTATAAATAACAATTTTAGTAAATAGTTTGTTAGTAAATACTAATTTGTTATTTACTAATTCGTAAATTTAAAAGAAAATTCGAGCCTATTAAAATTTATTTTTTACATATTAAAATTTGAGCCGATTTGAACTCTAACCGAGTTGTTAACGCCGATTAAAATTCTCTTTCGAGTTAATTAAAATTTATATTTTTTTACTTATTAAAATTCGTGTCAATTAAGATTCAATTTATTAAAATTTAAGTCAATTAAAATTCAAATATTTTTATATATTAAAATTTGGACTGATTAAAATTCAATGCGAATTAATTAAAATTTTATTTGAGTCAATTAAAAATAATTTTTAATAGGCTCAAACAAAATTTTAATTAACCCAAATTGAAAAAAATATAATTTTTAATTGGCACAAATTTTAATATGAAAAAAAATAAATTTTAATTAGTTTGAATTGAATTTTAATCGGTTGAAATTTAATTACGTAAAAAAAATTAGAAAACAGAGGGAATCTTATTAAAAATATACTTATCTAGAGGGGGTCTCATTGAAGATATGCTTATATAGAGGGGGTGTGGATGAAGTTTGTTCTCAAATATATCATGGACAATTTAGTAAAATTGTATTTTACTTAATATTTGTAATCTGATAGGGGTGTCATTTAAAATTTAGAAACTAGAGGAGGTGTTCTTGAAGATATGGTAAATTAGAGAGGGTGTGGTTGAAATTTTTTCTATTACCTAACTTTTTTTTATCAATTTCTCTTAATTATTTATGTTGAAGATATTTCACGTTAAACAATGAAATTGAGAACTCTTAATTACTACTACTTAGCCAGAACTTCAATCGAAGAAACAATATAATTATTGAAGGTTATTAATTTGTTTCCTCGCAAAGAGTATCAACACATCCTTTCACCATACTGCCCATCTCTCCAACGGCTATTTGCATTTTTTTGTGCAAGTCTGGAACATATTCAGCTTTGGACCCCCCGACTTTTTATTAGCTTCCTCGAAATTGAACAAAGTTAAAAAGCCTTAAAGAAGACCCAGCCCACAACTGACCAGTCACCAATACTTTTGGACTCTCTCTCTCCTTCGTCGTGACCTCATCACCCAGTGACCTGATTCTCTGCCTACTACATTATCATTTCTTTTACCCCTTTAACCTTTAATTTACCAAAAAGTAAAGAAAATAGTAACCAAAGTGGTATCCCACCTGAGAGGAGTCGCACTACTTTTCTCAGACTCGTCCTGCAATTAGCTCAACGCCCTCTCTCTCTCTCTCTCTCTCTCTCTCTCTCTCTCTCTCCCCATAGTCTGTACCCGAAGTGGCCATGACTTGTCAATAGGCACACCCTCCATCACACCCAATTCTTTATCTTCTTTACAAGTGCTCTAAATCCAAAGAAACCTTTGCAAGGAAATTCCTAATATGGGTTTATTCACTTTCCTTTTGCTCTCTCTCTTAGGCCTAGCTTGTTACACCAGTAAGTTTCTCAACTACACAAGTTCTATTAAGCACATGCATACATATTTCTGTGTTTTGTAACTTAACTCATTCTGTTGTTCTATCGATTTACAGGTGCAGAAATCTCACCCCAGATTGGAGTTTGCTACGGCCAACTGGGTAACAACCTACCCCCTCCACCAAAATCCGTAGAACTCATCAAAACCTTAAAGCCAACAGGGTAAAGATCTACGATGCCAACCCAGAAATCCTCAAAGCCCTCAAAGGCACCGACCTCCAAGTCTCTGTCATGGTCCCTAATGAGATCATCACCAACATTTCCTCAAATCAAACCTTGGCAGATCAATGGGTCCTCGCCAATGTCGTCCCTTTCTACCCAGAAACCATGATCCGATACCTATTAGTCGGAAACGAAATATTGAGTCAACCCGATACAACAACCTGGTTCAATCTTGTACCGGCCATGCGTAGAATCAAATACTCGGTCAAAAAATACAAGCTCCATAAGATTAAAGTTGGGACGCCACTGGCTATGGATGTTTTAGAATCATCGTTTCCACCGTCTAACGGAACATTTCGATCCGATGTATCGGTGAAGGTCGTGAAACCATTGTTACAGTTCTTGAACAGAACCAAGTCTTTCTTCTTCCTAGATGTGTATACATTTTTCCCATGGTCCTCTGATCCCATAAACATCAAGCTTGACTACGCTCTGCTAATGGCGAAGAACATTACATATACCGATCCGGTTTCGGGTTTAACATACACCAACCTGCTCGATCAAATGCTTGACTCAGTTGTTTTCGCCATGAAAAGACTCGGGTATCCGAATATTCGACTTTTCATTGCTGAAACGGGTTGGCCCAACGGCGGCGATATCGACCAGATTGGCTGTAATATTTACAACGCCGCCACTTATAACCGGAATGTTGTGAAGAAACTAATGTCGAAGCCGCCGGTTGGGACGCCGGCACGGCCTGGTACGGTTCTGCCGGCGTTTTTATTCGCTTTGTACAATGAGAACCAGAAGCCGGGTCCGGGTACGGAGCGACATTTCGGGTTGTTGTACCCGAATGAAAAGAATGTGTATGAGATCGATTTATCTGCAAAGACGCCGGAATCAGAGTATAAACCGTTGCCGATTCCGACGAATAATGAGCCTTACAAGGGGAAGATATGGTGTGTGGTGGCTAAAGGAGCGAATCGGACGGAGTTGGCGTCGGCGTTGTCGTATGCTTGTGGGCAGGGTAATGGGACTTGTGACCCGATTCAGCCCGGTGGGAAGTGTTACAAACCGATAAAGTCTTTGGTCCGGCATGCAAGTTTAGCTTTTAGTTCGTACTGGGCCCAGTTTAGGAATGTTGGTGGGACTTGTTACTTCAATGGGCTTGCTATCCAGACCGCTAAAGACCCAAGTAAGTATCAACTTTCTTTTAATTAGTTTTATAAAGACGGTTTAATTAGTTTTATAAAGATGGTTGAATGGAGCTACAAGGTACTACTAATAATAGGAATTAATATGGGGATGGATCAGGATCAGGATCCCCAACAATCATTTACTATTCCAATGTTGAACTCGTTTATTGTCAAGGTGTTAGTGATATCACGTAGGAATATGCTCTATGCCCATCATTCATGGTTTGATATTACATTGGAAATGGTGAATGTGGGGGGGACCTACATAGAACCATAGTGAAAATTAAATTTGGCCCTATGGCAGCAGTGCCATGGTTGGACAGAGAGAAATGATCATTTCTTTTCCTTTCGATTATTTCCTCGAGTTTGGATATTAGTCGTCGAAATCCAAGCATGTGTAGAATATGTTCTATGAGAAACAAGAGAGACCGACCTTAGATGTTTCGAGTATTGTTGAATCTGAAATTTTTAGATTATCAGAAGAAGTTAGAGTGAGTCATTAAACCACACTATGATTAAAAATAATAGTAATAATAATAAATGAATGATCATTTCGTCTATGGGTAATGATGTGTAGGTCACCTTCAGTGGTAGGAACGTTTTGGTGAGCTGGCTTTGAATAAAATGTTGTATGGGTTGCCTGTGTGACGTGGGGGGCAGGCGGCAAGAAATTTATTTTCCTTCCAAAAATATGGAGAAAAATTGAAGTTGTTAATGTCAATATAGCCATATATAGACTCTGCACTCATTAGTATTGGAAAGTAATTTTGTAATACATCACAATTTGACACTGGTATTTTTATTATTATTTTATCGTTACACTCCGATTTAAGATCAAGAACTATTTTTGGGGAAAAAAAAAAAAAAAGAAGTTAATTTGTCCTATCATAACTTTTATCCATTGGTTATAGCTTGATTTTAGGGTTTAGGCTAGCTCATTCAAAAACTGTTGTCAGCATTTAATTCTGATGGAGCTTTGTGCGCTTTTTTGTCGATGGTATATATCTCTATACAAGTGCGAGAGACTCACTTATCCTCCCTTAAGAGAGTGTATCGGATGGAATCTACAACACATATCATCGGTAGCTTGTTCAATGAAATATGCATAACTGTACAAGTATTGGTAGAAATAGAATAGAGGAATCAAAGTTTACTAGGACTGTACTGAATTGAATGTAAAAACTTCATGCTGCTAAGTTACTAATCCACACTCATCCTCAGTTGGCATGCATGGACATTGAACAACTCTGTTTTTCCTTGTAAAGCCTGTTTTTGTTTAGTTTTTGTGGGTTTTGATGATTTGGTTTGCAGGTTATGGATCTTGCAAGTTCCCAAGTGTTACTCTTTGAAGAATCAAGACGGTGAATGTTGGGAAATAAACAAACACCAAGTGATTATTGGCCTTTTGGGATTCAGATTTTCTTACCGTACACTTTCCTTCAATTTTTCTCGATAATAAATCACTTATCGTATGTTGGTGGAGGATTTTCTTATGCCAAGTAGTAATCTAACTTGAATTAATGACGGGTGATTTATTATCAAAAAAAAATTGAGATAAAGTATATTATAGAGAATCTGAAAATAGGAGACGTGAACTCCGATTCCCCTGCATTAGGAATAAAATAGGTCCCCAATTCAATTCTTCAAGCAAACTTCTAATGTATTGTTTCTTCAGGGGCTACTAGTAACGGCTATTTATGTATGTATTGTGCTCATACAGTGATAATATTGTTTTGAGGTTGGTGGATATCTTTTATAGGGCATCCATCCAACGGCTATATATGGAGTTGTCTTTATTGTGTCATTATTGTCAAGTGCACATCTACTACTTTTTATGCTGCATTTTAATTTCTACTAGTAATTGTCCGTACATGAAGGCACAGCGTAACGAAATCAAAGTAATCTTATGTAACCTAAAACTCTAAAAATTTTACATTACCTAAAGACTCTTTGCAACCTAAAACAATCTGTCAATTTGAAATCAAAGTAGTCCATACTATTATCCAAAAATTTCGGCATAATTTTCTCTTAAAATAAGAACTCATAAAAGTCTAAACATGTTTACAGAACTTACAATCGTACATAACAATCATCATAATTTATCATATCACCACAATAATCAATACATACTCAATCATCAACACATATTCAACCATCAAAACATCAAGCTAATCCCTACTAATTTCAAGAAATTTGGACAGAATTTTCTCTAAAAATAGAAGTCCAAAAAAATCTAAACTTGTCTAAAAAACTTACAATTATACATATCACTACAATCAGCATAACCATGTTTATCCAAACCACCAAAACAAAATCATCATAACCATGCATAATTAGTTAACTGTACAAAAAATGGAATACAAAAAATACACTCATGTACAAATATAGAAACACCTTCAATTTCATCTTCATATCCTTCCATGTATACCTGAAAATATTTGAGATATGTGAGGCAAAATAAAACATTTGTAAATCCAAAACATAAGACCCCTTACTTTTATCGTTAGTTGGATTCAACATAAAATTGATAATTATATCACTGTCCCAAATTTTGTCGCAAGTGCTACAAACACATTTTAGATAAATAAGCAAGTATGTTTCCTAGAATATGAGATGAAAAATGTGAATGATGTTGGTTAGTGAAAAGCCATCTCACTCAGCAAGATTTTTGTTAACACGAAAATGGAACATCAAGTAAAATAAAAAATAAATATTAGGTTGGCGAGATTTTGAAGAACATTTATCTACTTTAAATCAATAAAGTCATCTCATAATATTCTTCTAAGCATAAAATCAAATTCAGCATCATTTGATTATAGATGCCTCTATATATGTAAATCAACACAATCAAAAAGTGGCAAACTTTATAACCTTCCACAAACTTGTAGGCGCGCTTCCATAAAGCAATCCACCTAAGGAAAGAAAAATAGAAAATAAGATTTTTAATAATCAAAGCTCAAATAAGATCTTAAGCTCAATATCCATACTCATTCAAAAGTAAGGCCCATCATTTTACCGTCCTTTGACCGCTCTTAACATGTACCAAGCTGACATGTTTAATCGAACTCTTATCGAATTGGGTGTGATGTAGGAGAGAAATAGCACATAGTATTTCTATGTAGCATTTTAACAAATGGTTCATTTGTCTAATGATTTCAATCATAAATTTGTATTGGTGGTACTATAGTGGTGTGTGAGTTCGATGTGTGAGTGGTTACAGTTGCGTGTATTTGTGCATGTATTACGTGTGTTGTGTTTTTGCATAAGAAACAGAGAAATATAGAGATGGCCTAACATCTAGACAATAGTTTCATCAATGGTGTTGATGGAGATGGCCTAACAGAGTGAGAAAGGGATAAATATAGTGAGAGAATAGTGAAAGAGGGAGGAATATAAAAAAAAATTGGAGATGATGGATTACTCATTCCTCAACACATCATTAACGCAAAAAAAAAATGTTATTCGTAGACAAATAACTATCAAAAATTGGGAACAAATATCATAGATAAATAATCCTTCAAGTAAACCATGTACTGAAAAAAAAAATTATCATTGAACACAGATGCTCATGAATTCAAAAAATAAACATATAATCATTGAAAAATTATCATCATACATGTGTGGAAAAAGCTATTAAAACTATAATAAAAGTCATGAACCTAGAGCTGACGCAAGTTGCAATACATTAAAAAAGGTAGTAATATTTACACCGAGTCCAACAACACCTCCGGATATACGATATTTGTTGTGGTTGCTGATCCATTAGGAGGGAGAAGGACATTGATGCGATCAGCTGACGTGCATCTAGACATGGCCACATATAGGTGACCGTGGCTGAATACAAGCAAGCGCAAATCTACACCAACAAACTTGACTGATT